ACCACAGAGAAACTAAATGTTTCCTTTGTGTGTTTTTTGACTCTCTCTCTGCCTTTCCCAAAGGGAATACTAAAGCAGCATGCAAAGCAGGATTTTTGTGTGTGTGTGTGTGTGTGTGTGTGTGTGTGTGTGTGTGTGTGTGTGTGTGTGTGTGTGTGTGTGTGTGTCACATGAATCCACTTCTCTGGGAAAAGAGGAAGTACTTTCCTGGACTTATAGTAAACAAAAATAAGCACTAAAAACATCTTCTCACACCTCCCCACACTGAACCATGTGCTGTATGCATACAAACACAGAGTGAGAACGCTGACCCGCATTTTGGCATGTTTATAGAAGTAAGCTATAATGGGTTTTAAAAGCAGCACTGACACAAAGATTTTACAAGCTTGATACCTTCCAGGTGTGTGAGACCAACTACCTGTGTGACAGCATCTCCTGCTGGTTGATGGTAGAGTTGCAGCTGTGCAGACAGAGCAAGGCTAATGACATCATAGTTACACAACTTTAACTATTCCTCCTTCTACAGACAAATCACAGGGGACACATTATTTTACTATTGTTGAACTGACATTTTGGGATGTAGTGATAGTGATATTATTGTCACATTTTTATTTCTTGTACTTTTAATGCCAATATATGGTATCATACCTTTCATTGGACAATATTTTCCCATCCATAAAGTGTGATATTTTCATCCTGAAAGAGTTTTAGTACTCCACTTTCAGGCAATGATCCATCAAATAGTTTCCATACTAAACTATCATGTGACTCAGTACACATGGCAACAAGACACACCCACTTCCTTCAAATAATCGCCTCCCCAACAAGGACCAAAAAAAACAAACAAAAAAACTGCCAACCTGTACGCACAAATAAAAGTACACTTTAGCAGAGATCTAGTTGAACTATGAAATAAATCACAGTTTTATCATTGTTTAAGGGGTAAAAATAAATGAGCTTAACAAAGAGAAGCTGGGCGATTAGGTGTTGTTGAAGAGTAAAAAGCAGTGACATTGTGTGAATGTACCTACACTGAGGTTAACTGCCGTCCTTGAGCCAGCTGAATGTCCCTCTTATAAACCCCAAGGATAATTTACAACCCTAATTACCTGGGACTGACCCTCTGAAATTGTTGAAAAAGTGTACAACAACTTAACTGAAATATTTTGGCAATAGCTTCCTCAAAAACAAAAAATATTACTGGCATGATGTAAAAACTGTAGGTATCAATTATAGAACTGACACAGCAACGTTTGAGGATGCATTTGTAAATTTTTAAAAACAGAACTAGCAAATAAAGTACATTTTCTAACATGAATATGTTTTAGAGGGGAACCCAATAGTTTCCATCCTAAACTGCTAATAAAATTCCCAGATGATTCACAGAATGACTCCTCTCTTCACAGAATCATTCCACTAAAAACACAAATAGAAATAATTCGCTTGTTGCATTTTTACAGACATGACCCCTGAAAAACACTGAGAGTACTACTTTTCTTTACTTGAATAAAGAAGGAAGTTGTACAGCAGTATTATCAAACTTCCTGTTTCATGACGGAACATGTTTCAGCATTTTCTTTGGGGGGGGCGGAAATGATAACCTAAAAAAAATTAGTAACACCCGCACTCACACAAACACAGAGATCAGATACCCGACGGCAGCAGACTGACACAGGTGAGCTCTTATTTTCTGATCGCTACTCTTTGATTTACTATGACACTAATCCACATGAATTCTGAAGCATTTAACTAAAGTCTTTCTTGTGCTTGTTCCCTCCTTTGTGTTACTATCGCTCCAATGCAACTGAACAAGGAAACACTATATTTTATACTAAAAAGATCTTGGAAGATTCTCTCGATTACCTCAGGCTGCTGAAACCTGATTAAGATAAAAACATTTTTGCACAGAGCAAGGTCTCCCATCACATGCATTGGAGGCGCATTAATATCCCTTATACATTCTGACCGCACTCTTACTGTCCATATGAGCAGGAGCAATGAAAAACCTGTTTCTATGTTCATATGACCATCTGACTACTGTTTTAAGACAGACTTTAAAATAGTCAAACTATGTTTTAAGTGTCAAAATAAGACATTATAATAGAATATCAAATGATGTAAAGAATAATTAATTGCATCTCTAGTTACAAACATGCATGGTTTGAGAACAGACAGTCTTAATAAATAATGCGAGCAATAACTTTAAATATCTATACAGGATGATGAAGATGTCAGGAAGAGTCACTGGTTGCTGTGTAGCTCTGTTCCTTGTCCTGACCTCTGTGTCGGCTGTACAAAGGATCAATTCGATCAATGCTTTGAAGAGAATCAACTTTGGCCAATCTGTGCCCAAGCACAGTCTTGTGCTGCTCCACTGGTTTGCCAATGTAGTTGACATTGACAATAACAACGTTATCTGGCTGACCTTTGACCCAAACAATGAGGATTATGGCTCACATCATTACGGCAACTTTGAGGAGTTGTTGGACCCACTGCCTTGGGGTTACCGGTACTACACTGTTGGCAATCTCTATCAAGACACACTCATTCAACTTCCATCTTATGTTGTCCGTCCGCCCGATCCAGAGTATGTGGGAAGAAACAGAGACAGGATCATCATTAGAGTCAGGGAGCAGAACACAAGACTGCGGAGTATAGACCAAGTGTATATCACACAGCATTACGAGCCTTTCTGAAAATCAGGGGACACCTTATGATCCAGCTCACACCTACCAGATCACTACTAACCTCTTGAGACAGATCAGAGAGTTTTCTGTGGGAGAAAACCAACAGACACTGCCTCGCCTCAGAAACCGCTTTAGAAGTCACGCTGATGAGTTTCACATCAGAAACACATGGCGTCACCTTGCTTGCCTGGGACTGTTTTTGTTTCTTGTGATCGAGGAAAAGTACACCTGCAGACCACAAAACGTGAACCGGCCACAAAACTACAACAGACCAGAAAATAGCTGTGATGCTTTCGAGACAATAATAATTGTAATAATAATAATAATAATAATGATAATTTTGTTCTGTGGATTTTTCTTGCCGAGGTAGTGACTTTAGATTTTGAAAAAAGAAATACAGGCTTCCAATAAAGATTGTGACACACTTGTTTGTGTTTTGACCATGTACTTACAATGTTCTCTCATTTTACCTGCCTGTAAAAATTACCTGAACATCAAGAAATATTTTTAAAAAGTTTTATTATACCAAGGGAGGTATAAGGGTTTGTGTCTCAACAAAAACACATCTGTACATAGATCTTAAAAGCTCCATTTACTAAACCGCAGTTTGTTAACAGCAGAAATTTTATTTTTTTACAAAAGTATTTGAACTGAGAAAAATGTTTATTGTATATCGTAATGCACTGCTTTAGCATAGTCATAAAGTGCTAGGCTTCATTTATGCAACACTGTCATGCTCCAGCATGTCTGATCTAGTAGTAACGATTTACTGCTGATTCATACTGTGTGTGATAGAGAGAAGATAATGGAAATCGCTTTGATGGATAAATGAAACGGCTTTATGGTCTGATAGCCTTCACTGATAACGTATTACCTTTAAGAAACAGGAGTGCATTTCATTTATGGCGTTTTATTCTCTCTGTAGTGCTCAAGTTTGTGTGCGTTTATTAAAATATAATTTCAGTCAGACCCATGTCAGTGTGTTTATTTTAAGTTCAAGGAACTGGATCAAAACAACTTAGATAAGAAAAACCACAAAGACAACTTTAACTATTCCTCATTGTAAAGACAGACAATCACATGACAGGCACAGATAGAGTAAAGCATACTATTGATATATGGTGGTATCAGCTTTGTATCTATTTTTATTGGTCCAACATTGTTTTTACTGCTTATTTTTTAAACATTTGTTGAACTAGCATGTTATGAGTTAGTAATAATCTTAAATATCATGAAAAGGGCATTTCAACTATTTTGCACCACAATTTGTACTAAAGCTTTTTTGAAGGGATAAAAATATCACCCTTTGTGTAGGAAATATTGGATAAATCAGTATCAACTAAAAAAACAAACAAACAAAAAAAACACCCACTTAAAAACCTATGCATCCTGGTGACCTTATGTTCAAAAACCACCACATCCTTAGTTCAAATCCAGCTTTAGACATTTTGTTGCAGGTCACCTCGTCTCTCAACCCCAGATGTCTGGTGCAGACTACTGCGCACTGTCCAATAAGAGGCAAATTAATAAGATATCGGCATTAAAAAAACAATAAAAAAATAAGAATCCATCAATAATATGCCAACATTTCACTCCACTTTCAGACAATGATTACTCAATTTTGGCGATGAAGAGTTGTGACAGACATGTACTGGGGTAGGACATTGTGCTGTAAATATTGAACAGTGACCTTCAATGGAACACTTCAATGAAAACATGAATTATGAAAAGTAGCAAAACATACATAAAAATGCAGCCTATAAAACATGTGTATGTATTGGTATTTGAATACTAGCTAATAATACACCAGGCATTAGTACTACTCTCCTAAACCTGCAGTCCAAAAAGGAGGCACTCACTAGTTTCCATGCTAAGCCTGCTCATAATATTCACAGAAATAGTCCTCAAGATATTAATTCCACTAAAAACTAAATAATCAGCTTGTGGTATTTCTACAGTCAAAGTCAGTATTATTTTTTGAATACAGATGGAACTTTTCTCCAAACAGCTGTAATAATAAAACTTCCTCTAACCACTAGCAACGCTGGTTTCAGTTTCATTTACAGAGAAACCATAACCTAAAAAATTAGTTACACAGCAGACCGACACGGGTGAGCTCTTATTTCCTCATTGCTACTCTGATTTACTATGACATTAATTGAAAATTGTCAAACTATGTTTTAAGTGTCAAAATAAGAGATTATCAAATGATGTAAAGAATAATTAATTGCATCTCTAGTTACAAACATGCATGGTTTGAGAACAGACAGTCTTAATAAATAATGCGAGCAATAACTTTAAATATCTATACAGGATGATGAAGATGTCAGGAAGAGTCACTGGTTGCTGTGTAGCTCTGTTCCTTGTCCTGACCTCTGTGTCGGCTGTACAAAGGATCAATTCGATCAATGCTTTGAAGAGAATCAACTTTGGCCAATCTGTGCCCAAGCACAGTCTTGTGCTGCTCCACTGGTTTGCCAGCGTAGTTCTCTTCAACAATAACAACGTTATCTGGCTGACCTTTGACCCAAACAATGAGGATTATGGCTCACATCATTACGGCAACTTTGAGGAGTTGTTGGACCCACTGCCTTGGGGTTACCGGTACTACACTGTTGGCAATCTCTATCAAGACACACTCATTCAACTTCCATCTTATGTTGTCCGTCCGCCCGATCCAGAGTATGTGGGAAGAAACAGAGACAGGATCATCATTAGAGTCAGGGAGCAGAACACAAGACTGCGGAGTATAGACCAAGTGTATATCACACAGCATTACGAGCCTTCTGAAAATCAGGGGACACCTTATGATCCAGCTCACACCTACCAGATCACTACTAACCTCTTGAGACAGATCAGAGAGTTTTCTGTGGGAGAAAACCGACAGACACTGACTCGCCTCAGAAACCGCTTTAGAAGTCACGCTGATGAGTTTCACATCAGAAACACATGGCGTCACCTTGCTTGCCTGGGACTGTTTTTGTTTATTGTGATCAAGGAAAAGAACTCCTTTAAGCAAGACAACGACAGACAGGAAAACGGCAGCAGACCCCAAAACAACAGACCGGAAAACAACAACAGACCGGAAAACAACAACAGACCGGAAAACAACAACAGACCGGAAAACAACAACAGATCGGAAAACAACGACAGACAGGAAAACAGACATAATCATTGCAAACGTCGCCGTTTTATCTATTTAACTTTAGCTTTCATAATTACTTTATTGTACACATTCTTTGCTATATATTTTAGATGAGACAGCAGTATCCCTAGATTTAGATTTTAGAAGTATGATGAGGAATATGAAGCCAGCAGGACTCAAAAGTGGATTGGGATCAGTGAATTAGGCAGTTACATATGGAGCCATGACAGTGACTTAACATTTAGCATTGGAAACAGAACCTGAAAAAAACAGTAACGAAAGTCTTGTATTCGTAAAGTTGTATTGGCAGCTAAACAAGTTCCACTGAAAAAGAAACCCCAGGCATGAAAATATCCAGGCTTCTAATAAAGAAGGAATTTTACACACTTGTTCATGTTTTAACCACGATCTTATGCACAGACACGGTTAAGCATACTATTAATATCTCGTGGTATCAGCTTTGAGGGGGGAAAAAAATTGAATTGGTCCAACATTCTTTTTACGGCTTATATTTTGCCATTTGTTCAACTGGCATGTTGTGATTTAGTAATAAGCTTAAATCTTGAAAAGGGCATTTCAGAACCTACTATAAACAATTGGATAGATGTGACTATGGAGATTTATAAGATGGAAAAGTGGGTGCAATTTGTCAAACCTCAGACCTGATTTTGTTAAGATAGTGAACTGAAGGAACATCCGTTTATTTGTCTGTCCCTTTCGTACACTGTACTGTCCTGCAACATGTATAGAATAGTGTGAGACCAAACTGCTACAAACTTCCATATTACTTTAATGTCAACTACTCAACCTCCCTCTCTGGTTGTAAATAGTTATGTTGTGTTATATCTTAAGAGACACTTTATAAAAATGTTGAAATATCCATCTGTGCTCACTGTACTGTTATTATTTTTATTGAAATACTGAAAAGTAACCTTTTCTACAATGAAAACAATTAAGAAAAGTAGCAAATTATACAATAAAATGCAGCCAATAAAAATGTGTTGGGATTTGAATTTGATCTGTGACACGTGAATACTGGCTAATAATAAGCCAGACATTAGTACAACTCTCCTGGTTCCTCACCCTGCAGTCCAAAAGGACACACTCACTGTCAAACTTGGACAGTCTAGTTTCCATCCAGAATGACTCCTCTTTTTGCATTTCTATAGTACATAACTGGTAAAGCAAAAAAAAAAAAAAAATAATAGTATGCCTACTACTTTTCTTTTCTGGAATATAGAAGGAAGTTTCCTCCAAACAGCTGTATTATCAAACTTCCTGTAATGCTTGTTTCAGCAGTTTTGTTTTCAGAGAAATGATAACCTATAAAAAGGAGTTACACCCGCACTCACACAACACAAAAGATCAGACCCCTGACGGCAGCAGACTGACACAGGTGAGCTCTTATTTTCTGATCGCTACTCTTTAATTTACGATAATATCCAACATGACTGGTGAAGCATTTAACTTCTTGGCAGTGTTCTCTCATCTTTATGTTACTATCCCTTAGAGCTGGACAATATGGCCAAAAATGTTATCACAATGAAAATGTCATATCATTTGATATCGATAATTAAAAAACATTTCTTTCAAGTTTAAAGGCATTTTTATTTTTTAAAAGATTGTTGCTCCTGATTGAAAGTTGAACATGTTTAATTGTGGTTTTAAACTATTTATGGCCAGCACATAACACTTGATGCCAAACAGTGGATCATTTAAACGAATCTGAGGTAGAACACTAAACAATTTTGAGAAGATCTTTTTTCAGCAAATTTGCACGAGTGAAATTAAGTATCTTTTTTTTTTAATAGAAAAATTGTGTGCCAATTGGTTTTTGATTCAAGTGCACTTAATCAAACTTTTATTGAACATTTGTTATTTTGTTATTGAGGAAAATCATATCAATCATCATTATTTTATATATCTCAGCCCAATATCTTTCCAAAGCTCTCTGTAGGAACACAACAGAAAAAAAGACTAACTTTGAAAGATACTCACTTGATTACCTCAGGCTGCTGAATCCTCTTATTAACTTCAGATAAACTTTAGAATACATTTCTTCACAGAGTGAGGTCTGTGGCTTGTCTCCCATCTCTTACATTGGAAGCGCAATAGGGCCCGTGTCCACCAAAGCATTTTTTTCCTGACGCCAGCATCATTTTTCCAATTCATTGCAATGGGAGCGGCACGTTTTTACAACATGGTAAAAATGGCAGCAGCGTGACGAGGCATCTTTTCCACGCTGGGCGCTGAGCGTTTGAAGTTTAAAAATGTTCAGCTTTGGGAAAAACGCAGTGTTCGTCACTGTCACTTTTTACCCAGCTGTCCAATCACAGTGCAGGACTCTCATGAATCTCATGAACCCACCAACGGCGAGTTGGTTGGGTCCCCTCGCTCTACGTGTTTCAGCCTTCTCTTCATGCAGAGCAAGGGCCAGAGCAAGCAAGCTTACGTACTTTGTGGTGACATTACATTGTGTAAAATTAGGTAGCGTACTTGCACATATCACCTCCATGGAAATTATGTATCGTAGCAACCACAGCATCTCGAAAAAGACGCTTTGCCTCCAAAGCGTACCCTAGCGCTCCCAGCTAGGCGTTTTCAGAACAGCAGCTGGCATTTTCAGCTGTTAAAAAAATGCTTTGGTGGACACGGGCCCTTATGGTCCCTTTTTAACTCTGACCTAACTCTTACTGGCCAGTATGAACAGGGGCAATGATAACAACAAGCAAAACCTGTTTCAATGTTCATATGACCTCCTGACTTAGTTATTAGAATGAATGAATGATGAGAAAAATAACTTCTCTCTACAGGATGATGAAGATGTCAGGAAGAGTCACTGGTTGCTGTGTAGCTCTGTTCCTTGTCCTGACCTCGGTTTCGGCGGTACAAAAACTCCGTTCAATCAATGCTTTGAAGAAAATCAACTTTGGCCAACCTGTGCCCAAGCATAGTCTTATGCTGCTCCACTGGTTTGCCAACGTAGTTGACATCGACAATAACAACGTCATCTGGCTGACCTTTGACCCAAACAGTGGAGATTATGGCTCACATCATTATGGCAACTATGAGGAGCTGTTGGACCCACTACCTCAAGGAAATGTCAGATACTACACTGTTGGCAATCTCAATCAAAACACACCCATGCAACTTCCATCTTATGTTGTCCGTCCACCAAGGGACTATTTGGGAAGAAACAGGGACAGGATCATCATTAGAGTCAGGGAGCAGAACACCGGTTTGCAGAGGATCGAACAAGTGTATATCACACAGCATTACGAGACGTCTGAAAATCAGGGGACACCTTATGATCCAGCTCACACCTACCAGATCACTACTAACCTCTTGAGACAGATCAGAGAGTTTTCTGTGGGAGAAAACCAACAGACACTGACTCACCTCAGAAACCAATTTGGAAGTAACGCTGATGAGTTTCAGTTAAGGAACATCATAATCAAATGGGGTGACCTTGCCTGTCTAGGACTGCTCTTGTTTATTGTGATCCAAGAAAAGTACCCCTCCAACCAACACAACAACAGACCGGAAAACAATGACAGACCAGAAAACAACAACAACAGACGGGAAATCGATAACAGACCCGAGAGACAAATTCCTTGTGGCCGTGATGTTTTCGCAATCTGCTGTTTTTTTATAGTTATTGTAGCATTAATAATTATTTTTTTGTGCATTTATTTTGCAACTAGATGAGGAATGAGGGAGAGCAACGTTCTTGGATATTGTCTAAATAAAGTTGCTATGGAAGTGCTTTACAAGGACAGTGAGGACCATGAAGCCAGCGGGACAGTGACCTTTTTCTTTTGGCATTGGAAACAAAACCTGAACTGAAAAAGAACACTGGCATTGAAACACTTTCAATAAAAGAATGACACATTTGTTCATGCACATATGTTTTTAAATCACAATCTTTATTTTCTTTTGTTCATGGTTTTCAGCTTCAATTCTCTGTCTGTAGGAGTGTAGGGGAGGGGTTTGAGAGAAGTGGCCAAGCAGAGAGTGATTTAATTTTGTGTACTATATTACCCACTTATATAAGTGGTATTCAGTTTAGATTGAGATTTAGGCTCAATATCTCTTGTCATTAAAAGGACAGATACTTTACACCACTCATCTGAAATTAACGACTCATAATGCACTGGCATGATCAGAAAGCTCCAGGCTTCATTCACGCAACACTTCATTCACTGTCAACACTGCTCTAGCATGTCTGATCTAGTAGTAATGATTTACCGCTGATTCATCCTGTGTGATAGATGAAGAGAAGGTAAATTGTTCAAATAGATAAATGATACAGATAAGTGAAAGGCTTTACGGTCTGATAAGGACTGCTTTCACTGATAAGTGAAATTTACTACATCAAAAATTGTGTGCGTTTATTAAACTAATTTTTCAGTGAGACCCATGTCAGCGTTTTTAAGGTCAAGGAAACTGGAGCTGCTCAAATTAGATAAGAAAAATTATGAAGACAGGGGAGTGTATGTGTTTTTAACAGCAGATATGCCTCATGCAAAACACAAAATCATACCGATGATGATTCAGAGCTTTCCAAGTCCTTGTTTCTAGCCAAGACAGGCAGACCAATCAAAAGGCCTTTGTTTGTGTGAAAGAGATGAACTCCGTTTTAATGTGGTGAAACTAGATAGCACTCAGCAGGCCAGCACAAGACCCAGCAGATAATAAAGATAATAAGTCATCGTTAAAAGCTGTTGCAGAGCTAATAAAAAGGTTCCTCTCAAGAGTGGAGTTCAGAGACAGTTGTTAATGGCAAACAGGCACTGTTATTTGTTAAAAAAAAAACAAAAGCTAACACATATGATTATCTATTCATAAAATTTCCTCAAGAAGGTGTGAATAATACATTTTGTTTGATAACCAGGTCAATGTGAAGAGGGATGGTAATCAGCAGAAAGTATCTTATTCCTGCCACAAAATAAGATAAAAGCTGATGAATTTACTTGCTAAAACCCTGAAGAGAAACTTATAAATTACTAAAACATTTGCAATCATTTGCTCCAGGGTCTCGATGCTTACAATGTAAACAGTAAAATTAGCACAATGCTCATGATACACACTTAAGGTATTTACCAAGATGCTGTTGAATTGCACACACTACAGCAAACATTGAGCCAGGATCAAATATTTTTGTTGGAGATGTGACCTCCCGGCTGTGCCAATGCAGTGGCCTCACTGAAATTAAATTATTATCATCATTTTTTTTAAACAAAGTCATTTTGTCAGAAATTATACCAATTTTCCTAATTGTACAGTTGTTGTAATGCATTTCTTCACCTTATGTACTTTACTTACTTTATTGGCTGTGTGTGAATAGTGCCTCACCCTGCTTTGTCTTACCACGCTGAACTCTGACCACAAGACTCGTCTTACCTACGCTAACGTGCATAGTTCAATATTACCACCAAGAAATAACTGAAATACATAAGCCTTTTCTTTCAAGTGTGTGTGTGTGTGTGTGTGTGTGTGTGTGTGTGTGTGTGTGTGTGTGTGTGTGTGTGTGTGTGTGTGTGTGTGTGTGTGTGTGTGTATTATAGTCAAATCAGGGATGTACACTCATCAACCCAGAGGTTCTTATTTCATTTAGGTAAGTGTATGCATTCAAAATTAAAGCGCCTTTTACCAGATATAATATGTATCGCAGTGGCCAAGACAAATTAAATCAAGGTCAAGGCAAGGGACAGGAAACAAAGATGAGGAGTTTACAGAATCAATGAGCGTCCACATCCTGTTGACGTACCACAAGACTAGATACAGCTGCTCATCATTATAGCCAACAAATCAACCGAAGCGGAGCGAGCCATTGCAGCCCCTTGTACAGTAAGGCAGCTGCCACAAAAACAACCGGCTTATCACCATGTTCATCAGCCGCTCTCCCGTGGGCGAAACACTCAACCTTGTCATCGTGTGGGGATTTATAGTATGTGTACATGCACATGCACGCGCACACACACACACACACACACACACACAGGTAGATCAGGGTTAAATATCACATGAGCCCTCAAGCCATAATCTAATGGGCTACACAAAAACACTCCCACCGGATACAGTGTTGACACAAGCAGCAACATAAGTAAACAAACTGAAAACATTCCCAGTTTCCCCTTCTAAAAAATACAAAATATTTAAGGGGAAAAAAAGAAAAAGCTAATTCTAGTTTTGGGAATGTTGTCAAAGCAGTGTGGTCCTGTCGGTTTAGTTTTACTCCCAAATGACTGGAGGTTACAGTGGGCTTTTCCCCCCCATTTTGTTTTCTCCCTGCAGATGGACTTTCTCGCATGCTTTGTGTCTCTCTCCATGTTGCTCCCTCTTCCCTTCTGCACACCGACCCTCCTCTCCTTCTCTCTCCACCTCCTATCTGCTTCTTCCCAAGCGTCCCTCCTGCAGCGCCCTCCCCCTCCCTCCCTCCACATGCACGGCTAAGCAAGAAGGTAGTAATCTGAGCCAAATGTGGCAGAAGTTGCGACTTAATCCTTTCCTTTTTTCCTTGCTTATTTCCCCTTCTACTGACACATTTCAGATATTTAGCATGCATATTTGTGGACTGATTCACCAATACTGTGGTACCTAAGTAACTATCCTCAGCAAGAGGCAGGAATAAAATGAAATCCCTAAGTGTGTGCAAAGGAAGTGTAGTGGATAGAAAGACACAGACAAGCAACACACAGCATAAAAAGTGGAAATTGGAGGCTTTCTATTTTTATGCAGAAGGTTTTATGACCTCCAGATTTGGAATGTATCACCTCCCAGCCGCCTACGCCTGGATACTGCTCAATCAGGGAGAGAAACCCATGAGCACAACTGTCTCCAGATAACAGTGCTACACAGGCAGATACCAGTGTAAAGATGAGCTGTTCTAATAAGATCAGAGTTAGGGAAAGAAACGCCACAAATAAACACACCCAATTTCACACCATAACAAGCACTAGTATCGAGCTCAAACTCTGTTGAAGCCCACTTGTGAATCAACAAAAATAAATAAATAAAAAACAAAGCATTTGGTCCATAACTCACAGCCTTGCACATTCAGTTATACTGATCCAAAAATGAAAACAAGAGTAAAAGCTTAGAGCTCTGCAGTTCATTACACCCCACTGTAACATAGTAACAGATGAAATAAACATGCTGGGTTTCATGAGCTTTACTAGTAATTCAGCTATAAATACAGATTTGTCCTGAGGGTGGCGCTACTAGAAAGATAATGAGGTAACGTTAATTATATATATAGTATATTTCATGTAAATCCAGCTATTACTTTTCAAGATACTTTCTTGTGTTGCTACAGAGCTAACATTTCCCACATAGTTGTGTTCTAACAGAAGTCAGGGTGTGACCAATGACTTTCTTGGAAACAGGATAACCAAACTCGGTCAGAGATAATCTCTTGACTCTCGACCAACCCTGCCGTCATTGCGGCCTGCAAGACTTGGGGAAAGTAAATACAAATTCCTCCATCAATTCACACAAGGCTTTGTTGTGGTATGACTGAATTTAAACAACATTCAAGAGCCTTGTTCTTCCACTCTTGACCTGGTCTGCCTAAGAGTTTAGTCCAACAGAACAATGACTCACAGAACAGTACGCAGTATATTACCACAGTTATGGGGCATTTTTCTTGATGTTTCACCTCAGTAAAACTAATTCTTATGACGCAAGTTACTACAACAACTAAAACATCCCATACCAAGTTTGAGCTCTCAGCACCACATGTCTGGGAAGTTAGTCAGCGGTAGTTCAAAGGTGGGATTTTGCATTAATTTACATTATGTTAATAAAAAAGATGTAGTATGGCAGTGGAATAACTTCTTCTGTAACAAAGTTGCAGTAAAAATGAACAGAACCACACACGAAAAAGAAAACCCATAGCTACCAAACCTGCTGTTTCACTAACATATTAATAACAGATTCAATTAGATCAATGAAATGAACCCCCCTTTTAGAAAAAAGATAACACACCTACTGCATTCAACACACACACTAAACTCAAAAAACTAAACTCCAAGTGCAAACCCATTTTAATTTGACCAGTGGCTGATTCAAGTTCAAGTGAGTTGGCCTATTCAGTTGCTTGCCTGAATGAGATCTTTTTAAACTGCAGTCGTGGGAGCAGCCCTGGGATTCTCATCATCACCCTCCCTGACCTACATTCACAGTTAGTCTAGACTGACATGCTCACAAGGACTTTTCACAGCTGCATCATAGGTGGAATAAAAAGAGCAGCAATCCGGAATAAATACAAAATAAATCTGTGTCACACTCAATTACACTGTCAAATTTAACAGTGTTCAGTGTGTGGATGTGAGTACACTATGGTTAGTGTATGTAAAAACAGGCCATGCTGAAACCAGTTACAACCAGAACAGATTGAATGAGTCAACAGGCTAAAATGCCTCCTTTCGCAGTTCACTTTGACAGACACTGTTGACCCTGGGCAACCATTTTTCCCTTTAGTTAGTTTAGAATAAATGCTAAACAGAGCAGGTACTCACTGTCTGTTGGTCGGGCTGTGGACAGCTCTGTGACAGGTGACTGCACCCTCTCCACCCTTGGCTCTGCCAGGGAAGGCAGGGGAGCACTAGGTTCAGGAGGCGGGTGGTTGTTGTTCTCCACTGCACTGCCTGGCACCAAACCGTCTGGCTGTCTGAAGACAGGAATCTCTGGCCTCCTGGAGGTCCCCTCAACTGGGCCGAGGGTCGGAGATGGGGGCTCTGCTCTTCTCTGAGGGGGCTCTGGGATCCTTGAGCTTGGGGATGAGGACAGCTGGGCGTCCATTCTCTTGGGAGGGGCGGGGGGCTCATGGGGCCGTGTCATGCTGAGCTCTGCCCGCCTGTTTGTGGAGCTGGAGATGGAGTTGGAGGAGCTGTCCAAAGGAGTACTCCGACTGCTCAAGCTGACCTCAGGCCGTTTGAGGCCAAAGCGGGCAATGCCAGCACTGGGTGAGTTGTCAATCTGCTTGGAGGAGACCTCAATGGAGATTTCTGTGCGGCGGGCAGAGCCTGGGTCAGGGTTACGACTCCCTGATAACTCAATGCGCCTCATGCCGGTGTTTGGGGAACGTGGATTGGAGGACTCGGACGGGGAAGATCTGGAAGACGAGTAGTCAGAGTTGCGGGAGCTCAGGTCGTAGCTCCGCTGGCTGGATGTGGAGGAGGTGGATGAACGGAGGGGGTTGGTGGTACGACGAGAGAGGGGCGAAGGGTGCGTGGGTGAATCTGTCTCCTCCACCTCAAATGACCGTTTAAGAGCTGGAAAACACAGAACATTTGTGGTTAGACAATAAACAGAAGAACCTCTTAGCACAGTGCTGCCAGCACCAGCATCTGTATATTTGACTTTGTTCAACATTAAAGCATCTTGTGATTAAAAAAACAGTAGAAAAAACATGATCAACAAACCAGATAACATGAGTGCCTGAAGCAGTGATAATTCTCATGACTTTTTCTTTTTGTGAAACAAACAGCTTTTTCATTCAGTGGTGGCATTGTACTGAAGTTGAAAGTTTGTTTTGGATCAGACAGAAAGTCATTGATACTCCATACAAACAGTACTGTTGCAGCAACTCAAACCAACAGCAGTATCTTTACAGGCCAGAAATTTCTAGGCTTCTTCAGATGCATAGTGCAATTAAGTTATCACAGAAGGATGATATTATTAACACCAGCTTGATTTAACAAAGTAAACTCAGCACCACAGTCGGCATCAGTCACGCTATGAACAAATGAAACGTTAACATGAAAACATAAAGCGTCTCCGGTTAAAGTGACAGACAGGACCAAATGCAAACAACAAACAAGTTTCCACCAAGGTGAGCGTCACACAGTAGCATTTTAAATGTGGAGGCCGTGAACAAAATTGATGTAGCCAATATATCGCCCAAAACAGACCCCAGTGAACATGCTAATCTTACCGGATTTTACACGCTTCACATATCTCGATAGCATGGCGTTTGTGATTTCTAATCCGCTCGGTGAAAATATTCCCACCAAGCAGGGTTCAGTAATATTGTCCGGTAGCCTACAACACCTACCACTGAACGAAAATGACTCTATTTAATCCTCTGACTGAATATTTCATGAAATTACTTGACACGTTACGTTACCCGGGCCATCTCACACACCTGTTGACATGACGACTATCCAACTGACCACGCCTCGCGAGCGCTCTGATTGATAGCGTGACCCAGCTGCAGAGTTCATAAATTGGAGGTCATAATTTTTCAGGTGAAATTTCCAACGTTAACAAAATTAGATGGCTGACCATAACAAAGCACACCTTTCTCTGTAGGCTACACTCAAATTAACTCTTAGCAGTGCACTTTGCCTTAATTAAAGACTTTACTAAAAACAAGTGCTGGTTACTCTAACCTTGTTCCCATCTAACTACACTGAGAGGTAAAATTGTTAACTGTAAATTGTAAAAAGTGCTAAATGTTTTCACATTTTTGACGTTTTCTTGAATAACTTGTGTCCAGAGAAGTGTGCAAATCAATTGTCAATATCCTACAGAATAGGTTTTTACTATGTCATAGTATTATCGGGTATTACTTAAATACAGGTACTTTGAACAGCATTCATTTGTACTTTTTTCTAGTAGGAGGTCTGAAATCTTCAAGTTCCTGGAACGCAGCATTATATAATTACATTATTTCGGCCTAGGAAAATCAATTTCTGAGTGACTGAATAAGAAACTATGGGGACATTCGGTGTTCTATCAAAATGTATGTCTACCGTGTTGTTGCACTGAAAAGACAGCATAATAAATTAAAGTAGGTGGCCTATAACATAACCAGGCTGTGTTTTAAAAAAGTATACTTACTGTTTGTCTTTGTCTGTGGTTAGCTCACAGTAAATGTATGTTTGAAGAGGAATAGCCTACTCTTGAAAAGTTAAATAAAAACATATATTCAATTTAAAACAGATTTTTAAAAGAATTATATTGCGTTAAGCTGGTAGCACTTACACATTTCTTTTGTACTGAGAGCCTGAAAAATCACACTTAATATTTTATCAAAACCATATCCACACCAACCTGCCCTTTCCCTCCATATCAAATTCAATGTGCCAACCAGAGCAGAGACCTGAGCAGCTACAAGCCCTGGAGCAACACAGCCTCAGTCCCAGATAAACACCGAGCCTGCACAGGCGTCTGGCCTGCTTCAAGGCTGAAGGGCCAAGCACCAGCATGGGAGAAGACCCTCTTCTTAGAACTCACTGTTTTTACATCCTTAATATGTTTTGGCAGGTTTTTCAACAGTTTTCCATTGTAAAACTTTGTTTATAAACGCAGAAAATATTGGGTCAGTCCTGGTTAGATTCACTTGCTGTGAACCTTTTTTCACAGTCAGTGTGATTATGGCAGTTACAGGACAGCAGTTAATGACAGGTTTGAATTACAGGTCAGCAATCCGACTCCTAATCTCCAACTCCAACAGAACTGAGGTTTCTCCAATGCTGATCATTTGAGCAGATCCTCTTTATGTACCCTGAATGAGTACACTATAAGTCACTCCTACTTTATCTGCAGCCACATTGCCTGAGCACACATTCACTTTAACAGCATACTGAAAAATCAGTACTGTATAAGACATACCATGTATACTGTTTGCCCTTTGTGTCTAAGGACCTGGTGTAACGTGTCCTCAAATGTTTGCTATGTCCTCAGTAGGTCCTCTGGATTACAGAATACCATAAAAAATCCTGCATGTTCAATTTTTGCACTTCTTCATTACACCATTGAGAATGACAGAAAAAATTAGAGACCAACAAAAAACATTGTAACTTAGATTGAAAAACTCGGATTGTATATTCACGTAGTATACATCTGACAATAAGCTCTTTGTGTTGCTCACATGGAATCATGTAATTTTTTTTGAGGAAACTGGCATGGCATTTTCCTGGAAGTCAGTTTTGTCAGTGTGCTCTGTTCTCCTTAACGTATAAGAAATAAGCACAGGAATGTCGCACTAGTCACAATGACATTATATGTAAAATCAGCTGTTCAGCTGTAACTAATCCTCCGTCCGGCCCTTAATGACCATAACTTGCACAATTTGCACTGTTCATGGATGTGTGATGCTCAGCTTTTAAGGGCAAGAGCTTGAGCAGTGAAAGTCAGCAGCACAAGCATAATTCAAAGCGCCACAGACCACTTAAAACTGTGTTTGACTGTGATTTTGATATAATGACCTGTTTGCCTAGAATTGTACTAACTGCGCGGTGTGTGCCTGCTCTGTGGCGACAGAAGAGCTCAACACAGTGAAGTCCTCACAGACACAGTGGAGACAGAGGCCCTGTCAGCTATGTTTCTCTCTCTATCTCCATATGTGCGTGTGTGTGTTTAAACACAGCTGTAGAGTAACGCAAACACAGCCTGTTCTCCAAGCTGGTTGGAGCCGAACTCTCTGCTTCTGTTAACGTCAGACCACACTGCATACTGGGATCTGTGTGTGTGTATGAATGAAGGTGGATGGGGAAGTTGAACATTAATATCTCTCTTTGTGTATTCGTGTGGACAAGATGGCACTCTTACTTGCCTACTGTAATATCTCATTCACTGTCAATGTGCATATATGTTTTTGTATGACTATGTACAGTAGGGAGTTTATGTTTTTATGGCAGTGCATGTGTGCAGGATGTGATTTTTGTTTTTTTTCTTCACTGTCATAGCTTTACAAGTGTTCACATGTGTGTGTGTGTGTGTGTGCATGTGTGGTATTAAGGACAAAAGCAGTTGATTCTTCATGCTGTTGCTCTGAGGCGATAGTGATCACAACCCCTCCAACCAAGCTAAGATAATACTAATGAGCACCAATGTGAACCAAACCAACCTCTCTGTCTCTTTCTCTGGCTTTCATTGTTAGCCCTTCCTACCTCTCCCTCTCATTTAACCTGGAATTGAAACAAAATCTGCATAGAAGATTTTTGAACCCCATTCCAAGCGTTATACCATAAACTTGCTATTCGACTGAACTGCCAAATATGGAAGACATTGCAGTCAAGCATGATGTTTTCCAACTAACACTGAGCAAGACATGGGGTGAATTCACTTGTTAAACAGCCAGAAAATCATATGATGATGCTACTCTGTTCTCCAGTGTAGCATGTACTGGATGAGCACCAAATGGACATTCTCTATGCCTCTCTGAGCATGACAGTAGATGAGTCGGGCAGGTCAGCAAGATATATCACTGCCTTTTGTCTTCAGTTGTTGAGGGAAATTAAGAATAACTACAGCATAAGCAGGAATTTTGACAAATTACTAACTAAACTAAATTGGTTTCCGAGAGCTACAGGGTACAATCTCCAAAGTGCAGCTATCGTCACAGTCAGCCATCATCCAACAAAGGTAGTAACTGTACTTAATATTCATGAACTCAAACCCCTTTTTTAATACTATTAATGGTCGACTTTTTTTTAGCAATAGCCATTCAATGTATTTTTAATTTGTAATTACTTCTCTATAGAATATACTTTCCATTGTTAGTGGTGGAGACTGCCATTCCACTATGTTCAAATTGCCAGGAAATGAGGAGTGCATATGTAATTTTCATTTCATCACATATTAGCCTCACTGTTTGTTGTTCACTTGCCCATAGCCATATCAGAGGTGTGTTAAGTTACTGCTAACACAAACGCAACATTTGCTCTGCTGCTACTTCACAAAAAAACATTTAACATGTGAAAGACAGAATGACTTTTATTGTGAAGGAGTCACAGGAAACAGCACTGACAATGACTGTACAGTGAGGTGTAAGAGGAAAAGCTGCAGATGACTGCACACCTCCAACTCCTCAACAAGGTAACCAACAAGTTTGTTTGGCATCTCTGTAAACAGATACACTGGTCACTCTTCTCTTAAACACTCAAAAGTATTTGCTGTAGTGTTAAACCACGTTTGCTGTTACCATTCTAATCACATATGTTGACAAATCAACCAGGACTAGGATTTAAGGCAAACTGTTACAATATATACAGTTGACATGTTCTGTACTCAAATGTGAAGTCACTCAAGCTGGTATGCTCTCTATAGAAAGAGGTTCTCACACAGTAGTCTAAAAAAATCTGCGTGTGAAAATCTGCTTTGGATCACTGGAATAAAATAATTTGGCCCTCATCTTAAAGTCCAACTCTTTTTCCTGGAGGTGTTTGTTACAGTTGTCACACTTTCCATTCCCTGCTGAAAAAAATCCAACTTTCTTCTAAATGTACAAAAGAAAACTTTTCATCACATGCTAGTTGTTTTTAGC